GACATTGTGGACCCAAAACTTGCAAAGCCACTGGCAGCATGTGTTTTGTCTTCTTGTTGCTCCCATAACCAATGTTGGGCATTAAGATCTGGCCCTTAAATCTTCTCCACACCCTGTTGTCAGTGCCTCTGGGCTTGCGCCAGTTACACCCAATTTTTTTTTTTTAATGATTTATTGTGAATTATGTGATAGTTTACATGGAAGAACATTGGTTTTACATTCATTCTATCATATATCGTCTCATTGCCATGGTTACAATCCCCTCCATGCAATCCTTCCCCTGTGCCCCCCAAGTCTTCAGCATACAATCGCTCTCCCTCTCTGGATCTAAAGTCTCCAGCTGCTCCATCACTCCACGTCATCATCTCTGGCTCCATTTCAGGCATCACTGCTTCTCTGGGTAGGGTCCCGCTCTCTGCTCTTCTCCCTTGATGGCCCTAGGGACCTCCGCTCCTAGACTGAGAAGTTAATCACTCCCCTCCAACCCTCACAATCAGTCCTGATAACAATTATTCACTGTTGTATCACAAGAGACCCGTCTGCATTTCATTGCATCAGCCCCGCCTAGGCAGATTGGATACTACTCACTGGATTCTACCTTCCTCCAGGCCCTTTGGATCTAGGTTCCCTCTTGAAAGCTTGTAAGCCAGTCACTTCTTGCCTTTGTAGCCCCCCGCCCCCCATTTTGGGTAGCCAATGTCCAAGTTGCCCATCCCTGTCTACTCTGTGTGTGGAGGGGGTGGGAATGATTCTTGCTGTTAGGACTTGTTCCCTCTTTTGAGTTACTGCTTCCATAGGTGTAGGTCAAGTTCATCAAATTGTATGTGAATACTTTTTTTCCTCTTCTTTTTACTTCTGGTTGAGCTGTGATCATCCAGTCATTGAAGCCAGGACAAGTGGGTATTATCTGCAAGTGTGGGTGTTCTTATGCATATGCCCTCTCTTCTTATCAGCTGGACACTTCACTCTCTGCTCTAGTCCTCTGTGACTGACTCTGGGCCCAAGAGTCCCCAGGTCTTGCCACACTGCTGGCCAACCAGGTCTTCACCCGGGTTCACAGAAGTCTATTGAACGTTGTAGGGCTTAGCTCACGGCTTCATTGCTGTTTTTCCCTCACTTCCCCTTATAGGTGTCGAGCGTGGTCACCATTCACAGCGTGTATTCCCATTGAGTCTTAGTCTTACACCCAATTTTGACATAACAGTCTGGTGTTGAAAGAATTTCTTGGTCCTCTTTGATGACCTTGGGTTTCACCAGGGGTCTGAGGGCAGCCCAGTGGAGATGGCTGCCTCCTTGTAGGTAGCGCAGGAGAAAGGAAAACCATTTCTGATTTTTCAAGTATAAATTTCTATTTTCTTGGGTGGAATGGGGTGAGTAGGAGTAAGGAGTGAGGATTAGGTTTAGGACTATGCCTGGGTCTAGGAGTGGCCTAGGACTTCATTTAGTGTTAGGGTTATGGTTAGGACTAGGGGTTGGGCTACAGCTAGGAGTAAGGTGTGGTCTGGTTTTTAGGGTTATAGTTGTTGTTAAGTGCTGTCAAGTTGATTCCAACCCATAGCAATCCTGTATAGAGTTTCCAAAGAGCGGCTGGTGAGCTTGAACCACCGACCTTGTGGTTCAAACAACTTTGCAGTCCAGCGCATTAGCTCACAGTGCCACACCAGGACTCCAGGGTTATAGGTAGGTTTATTTATATTTGTCTATTTTCTTGAAATCGACTTGATTTCGTCCTCCTATGGAAATTCTGTAACTACATTATTTCCTCTTTTTACTTTTATGTGTTTTGTTGTTACAGCTATCCCTGCGTCTCTATTTTCAGTCTTACAGGTCTGGGGAGTCCTGGTGTGGCGCTGTGGGTTAACGCACCAGACTGCAAAGCTGTTTGAAATGCAAGGTCAGTGGTTCAAGCTCACCAGCTGCTCCTTGGAAACCCTATTCAGGGTCAAGGCACTTGACTGACTCAAAGGCACTTAACAACAACAACGTTTTACTTTGGAGACTTCTGTATCTGGGTTAAGTACTGGGTGATATTGTCAGTATGTTCGTCTCAGGTTGTTGTGTACTGTTGGTTCGCGGTCCAAAAAACTCCCTTTAGTATATTTTTTTGGTAAGATTGGTCTGGCTTTTACAAGTTCTTGTGATTTCTGTTTATATGAAAATGACCTAACTTTGCCATGATAGTTGATGGGCAATTTTGCTGGATGAAAAATGATACTTGGCTGGCTTTTTTTCTTTTCAGTTTTATAGATGTCTTTCCATTGTTTTCTTGCCTGAGTAGTTTCTGCTGTGAAATCAGAGCTTAGTCTCATTAGCTCTCCTTTCTATGTAACTTTTTGTTTTTTCCCACAAGCTGCTCTCAGGATTCTTTCCTTGTGTTTGATTTTGAAAAGTTTGATTATGTCTTGGAGTTTTTCTTTTGGAGTCTAGCCTGTTTCAACTTTGTTCAGCTTCTCAAATGGTTGTTTTCTCATCTTTCACGATGTTAGGGAAGTTTTCTTCCAACAACTCTTGGACAGTATTCTGAGCAATTTCTATGAACCATCGGTTTCCAAAGACAAAAGTACTGGTTTTAACTTGCTGAATGATCGCTTACAGCTGGTGATGGAAACCGATGGTTCATAGAAATTGCTCAGTAGAATTCCTTCAAGTGGCTTTCAGGGCACGTGCCATACCTGCCACACCTTAGGTAAACCTCTATTGATACAGGACCTTTGATGTGGCAAGTAAATATTGAAGTATTTGTACTTAAGTTCAGATATTCCCTGAGTTGATGCAGCTATTTATATTTATTTAAATAATATAACATGATCAGTGGACTCTGAACAGGAGTGGAATGTCTAAGGCTCGATTTCAATTGTCTGAGCTCTGTTTGGCTATTCTTAATCTTAAATTGTTGTTAAATGTCATCGAGTTGATTTGACCTATAATGACCCTGTCTAGGGTTTCCAAGGAGCAGCTGGTGAGCTTGAACCACCGACCGTGCAGTTCAAACAGATTTGCAGTCTGGAGCATTAACCCACAGCACCACACCAGGACTCCTAACCTTAAGTGTTGTTGTTAAGTGCCTTCGAGTCGGTTCCGACCCATAGCGACCCTGAACAGGTTTCCGAGACTGTAAATCTTTACGGGAGCAGAAAGCCTAATCTTTCTCCCGCAGAGAAGCTGGTAGTTTCGAACTGCTGACCTTGTGGTTCATAGCCCGATTCGTAACCACTACACTACCAGAGCTCCTTCTAATCCTAAGTAGGCTTTGGTATTTTATATACTTGAGTCATCTGGAGAACTGAGTATTGAAATCCATCCAAGACATTTATGTAGGCAAAAGTGGGAATTAGAATTTTATACATTTGTCACGTTTCTTCAGAAGTAATATTTGCCAAGACATCCCCTTAAGCACAAGGACACATATTTAGTTGTTTCATTTATTTGTTGGTGTTTGTTGGTGGTGGGGTGCCACCAAGTCGGTTTTGACTCACAGCGACCCTGTATAGGGTTTCTGAGGCTGTAAATCTTTACGAGAGCAGAAAGCCTCATCTTTCTACTGCAGAGCCATTGTAGATTTCAACTGCTGACTTTACTTAAAGTTCAGCACCCCAGCTCATAATCCTCTACGCCATCAGGGCTCCTTGGTTATTCCTTATGTACATACAAATGTTGTCTTAGGATTGTTCCTTTCTGCCTAGTAATTAGAGAAATATGTTGCTTAGCAGGTTACTTCTTGAGGAACTCCAATGTTACTAAGACCCGGAGTGTTTTGCAACATACTCTACAAATACACAGAACAGTAGTACTTGTCAACTCAATTATTGACGTTCTTTCCTTTTTATCTATTATTTATCCTTCTCACCCCACCAACAAAACAGCTGTCATATGGTTAAAATGCATATGCATGAGACATACAATACTTGGTAATATAACAGTATTTGCTAATTCTAATTCTCATTTACACTGCGATTTGAACTATCAAAATGTTGTTACAGTTAAAAATTAAGGAACACTTGATTTTACACTGGGAAAATTACCCAAATGTCCTCTTATTCGCCTTCATTGCATTAACTTGATGCCAATAAGCTCAGACTCTGACCTACACGACTTTCAAGTCCTTCTTGGGACCAACGCAATTCATTTGCATTGACTTTCTATTGTAGAGCTTTGGAACCAAGGGAAGGATCCAAACATAGTTCCATTTTATCCAATCAGAGAAGCCTCTTAGTGCTTAACTTTGATTCGTCCATTTCTGTTTGCATACATCCAATCAGCAGTCTACTTTAACAGCCAATCAGTTATCTAGATAGCTACCAATCAGGGAACAGGGCCGAAGCACGGCCTTTGTGTCGGGGGATGTCAGCGCGTCGGCGAATGCGCCCGCCAATAGCAAAAGTCGTTGGTGTATGCAAATGAGTCCCCTATGACGCAGGGACGCAGCGTGAAGCGTGGATATAAAAACGGATGCGTCGGGGGGGCTGGGAGCGCAGAACGGTTTGGTGGATTGTCGGGAGAGCATCGTCTATTCGGCTAGGCGACTGCGGGTCTCCTTTGGACAGCGACAGCGACGCGGTGGTCCGGGAAGCGGCCTCAGACTTAAGTGTTTGGTAAGCGCCAGCGGCTTGCTCCGTGAGTCGAGGCCCCGGTGGCCTTTCCTCCCGCGAGTCGCGGCCGTTGCGTCGCCCAGGGGCGAACGTTGCGGGCGGCTCAGACCGATGGGGCTTCCCGTGGGGCTGGGGTCGGGAACTGCGTCTCCGCCCCTGCTCTGTCGCCCGCTTCCGGGCCGCGGGGCCTCCGCCCGACGCCGAAGGGAAGTGACTCCTCCCGGGGGAGGCGGCCGCCCGGCGCCGCCTGAGTCATTAGGGGAGGGGGAGGAGGCGGCCTCGGCCATCTGCCGCCGCGCGGTAGGGCGGGTGGGGCCGCGGGCGCTGGCTCGGCGCCCCCTATACTCGGGCGGGCGCGCAGGCAGGCGGGGGCGCGGCTTCACGCTGGGCTGCTGCCGCCCGCAGGTGAAAAATGGCCCGAACCAAGCAGACTGCCCGGAAATCCACCGGGGGGAAGGCCCCCCGCAAACAGCTGGCCACCAAGGCCGCCCGGAAGAGCGCTCCCTCTACCGGTGGGGTGAAGAAGCCTCATCGCTACAGGTAGGCGGGGCGGGTGGGCGGCCGGGCCGGAGGGGTCGCGGGCAGGCGCGCTGACCTCCCTCCCTGCTGGCTCAGGCCCGGCACCGTGGCGCTGCGGGAGATCCGCCGCTACCAGAAGTCCACCGAGTTGCTCATCCGGAAGCTGCCCTTCCAGAGGCTGGTGCGGGAGATCGCCCAAGATTTCAAGACAGACTTGAGGTTCCAGAGCGCGGCCATCGGCGCCCTGCAGGTGAGGCCGCTGGTCCCGGGGGCAGGGCAGGGGGCGGGATTGCGTTGTCGCTTCCCCGCTGAGCCTAATTGGCCGCCTCTTGTCCGCAGGAGGCCAGCGAGGCGTACCTGGTGGGCCTGTTTGAAGACACCAACCTGTGCGCCATCCACGCCAAGAGAGTCACCATCATGCCCAAAGACATCCAGCTGGCCCGCCGGATACGGGGGGAGCGAGCTTAAGCGCCAGGCGGTTTTTATGGTGTTTTGTAGTAAATTCTGTAAAATACTTCGGTTTAATTTGTGACTTTTTTTGTAAGAAATTGTTTATAATATGTTGCATTTGTACTTAAGTCATTCCATCTTTCACTCAGGATGAATGCGAAAAGTGACTGTTGACAGACGTCAGTGATGTGGGCACTGTGGCTCAGGCGGGACAAGTTGCTGATCCGCAGAAGGGATGGGTGATCACTTCTTGCTTCTCATGATGCATGTTTCTGTATGTTACTGACTTGTTGGGTAGCTATTAAGGTACTAGAATTGAGAACTGTGTACAGGGTCCTTTTGCAATAAAACTGGTTATGACTTGATCCACGTGTTTAACAATTGGGGCTGTTAAGTCTGACCAAACATCACTGTGATAGAAATGTGGGCTTTTCCAAGGGGGAGGATCCAGGTCTTAACCACAGTGTAACCTACCGTTTCCTAAAAAAACAGTAAACCTGGCAGCTATAGAATACACTATGTGCATTTATAATAGCTATTTTATATATTGTAGTGTCGACATTTTTAAATTAAATGTTTTACATTTACATGTGGTGGGGAGTCTTGTCATTCAGGTGTGTGTAATTTAGAGTCCAGTGGGTTTGCCTCTCACTAGATGCACTTGTTCTCTTGTAGTGAAATGCTCTGCCGCGCTCTACCTTGCATAAGTCCTCATTCTACCACGTGTTTAACTAACCCTCCAGCTGATACTGCAGACACTAACAGGGGATTTATTTTATAAGGGCTCTGGACTATCTAATACCAGTTATTCACACCAGCATCATCCGTTAACTATCTTCAGAGCTAGTTAGTGTGCCGCTTTTTGTTGTTTAGTGGTTGATCTCGTAACTAGGTTGAATTTTTCTCCTCTACAAAGAGGAACCAATACTGAAGTTCTTTTCCTTGTGGAGTTTGTTCTAACAACCCTCAGTTTTGGACTTGCTGTCTGGGAAGGGGGCACATGACTCCAGCTTCTTGTTCCCCTGCTGATTACTAGGGGGTGTTGTGATAGGTGACACATCTAGTCTAGTGGCCTGGAGAAAATCAGAGGTGGCCTTCAAAGGGGTTTCAAAATTTATCCTTTTATTGAAGGTTTTTTAGGTCAATTATCAATTATGTGTTGACTAAATTTACCAATAAACTTGTTTATCCATCTAGATCTGAAGTTTGAATATACAGAACTTCAGAAGTAAATTTTGCTAAATAGTTGAGGAATTTTTCTTCCATTACTGAAAGCATGTAAATGAATCCTCTTCTAAATCCCATAAAAATTCCATAAGCCACCTCCTAATATTGTGAAGGAATCGCGTATTTTCATCACATTCAAGGTACCATCTGAGACACAAGTAGTTTAAAGTTCTAGGACTATTTTGAGGATCTTGTTCCATGAACCTGGTTTGCTAGCAGGTTTATAGAAATGTATACAACAGGGTCTTTGAATGTGAATCCATAGACAACGTTCGTTGTTCAGCTAAGTCATTTCAAAACCTCCACTTTAGAGCAGTGACATCCTCCACTGCAGCACATAGTACACTGATTCCAGTAAGACCAGGCACAGGAACAAGCAGCACGCAGAAAACGCATTCTTTATTATGTTCAAAGTTTGGAGCTGTAGAGTCTTTGCCTTAAATATAAGTTGCTGTTTTGAGACAGTTTACAATTTGAAGGTTTTCTTTATTAAAAAGGAAGGCACACCAGAGTGGAGCTGCTTTGGCAGTTTTCATATCTTGAAGGTCTGGATGGGGTGTCAGGTGGGGCTCATTACAGTGTAAAGTGATTTTACTAGAAGATCCTAATGGCTCTTGAGATGAACAAGTGTCATATCTGACCATTTGGATGAAGCTGGATCAGAGTGTCTAGTAGTGTACAAGTATACACAGGGGACACACAAATACTAGAGACGGTGTTTGAGGTGTTACTATGCAACCTGTAATAACACAACTGGGTGGCACTGTTGAGCTTTCTCCCCAGTCTGCAGCCTCTCCCGATTTTACTGAAATCTGCTACTGAAATCTGCTAAAGTGCAACTCCCTTTCACACTAATTGCTTGCATTTTAACCGCAGTCAAAGGTGCTTTTTGGTTTTTGGAAGTAGTGCCCACACATCGCTTAGCTAAGGTGATGGAACAGTCTGTAAGGAGAAACAGTAAAAAGTTGGAGCCCATGAAGGTACCCTGTGCCCTTGATGGATGAGACAAAAATAAAGTTGTTGAAGTTAGACTTTCTCATCTTGTTAATGGTTTTCATTTGACAACTTACCTTGCACGATTTTCTGTGGGGAAATACACAAAAGTTTTGCCTTATTCAGTTGGGGGGGGGGGAGGATTATATTCAATGAAACAAGTGAATCCCTGACTGTAAACTTGGGTGTTCATAATAGTCTTAATTGGGGATGAATTCTATGGTGCCTCGCCTCACATGTCTACCTGAGAATTTGGTGATGTGATGTGGGATGGAGTGCCTAGTGAGGCTTGTGTAAAAACAAAACAAGCCAGCTTTGAAGGGCTTGGCTGCTGTTTGTTTTGTGCAGACAAGTATTAACAGTCCTGGGGTGGCGCTGTGGATTAATGTACAAGACTGCAAAGTGGTTTGAACTGCAAGGTCCGGTAGTTCAAGTTCATCAGCTGCTCCTTGGAAACCCTATACAGGCTCATTATGGATTGGGACCAACTCTATGGCACTTAACAAACGTATTTACATTTAAGGATCTGTCTGGTACCACAGTGGTTATGGGTCAGGCTGATAATCTCAAGATCATCAGTTCTGCAAGAGAAAGATGAGGCTTTCTGCTCCCGTAAGGATTTACATCCTTGGAAACCCTTGTACAGGGTTGCTGTGAGTCGGAACCGATTCCAGGGCACATCAGGATGAGTCAGACTTGACTCCACAGCACAGTATTAAATTTGGTCCGTACGAAGCGAGGACTTTTTATCTAGAAACATGGGCCCCGGTTGCTTGTTCATAAACTATAGGAAAGGTAATTAATGGGGGAGGGATGGAGGAGTATGATGGGATTGCTTTGCTTTGGGGTGGTCATTTTGGTTTAACTTCTGAGTCCTGGTCTCACTTGAGCACCATTAGTACCCCAGGTCTTGTGTCTGGCACAGGGAACTAGACTTGAGAGCACAGCAAAGAACACCCCCAACCAAGGATGTGGTCAATCTGACAGAATGACCATGAGCTGGTAGACTAGACAGGACATGTGTTTTGTCATACGTTACTAAATCATTTCTCAACTGTCTCCACTGGGGCCCTTTCTGAGACACTGCAGGCATAACCCTATATGTTTGCAGGACTGGGTCTGCAGCAGTTGGAGGCAGGGCAACAGAACACAGTCCCACAGCTGTCTGCCTGGAGAACTCCAGTTTTTTGTTGATTTTTTTCCTCAGGACCCTGTGTGCCAGGATGGGGGTGGGTGGGGGGGGGATTCTTGGCCCAGGGCAAATCTGTTAAAGTACCATCCAGTCAATTCTGACTCAGACCGTGTATTACAGGGGTTCCAAGCAGCTCTGGTAGCGTAGTGGTTACGAATCGGGCTGCGAACCTTAAGGTCAGCTGTTTGAAACTACCAGCCGCTCCGCGGGAGAAAGATGAGGCTTTCTACTCCCGTAAAGATTTACACCCTCGGAAACCCTGTACAGGGTCGCTATGGGTCGGAACCGACTCGACGGCACTTAACAACAACAACAACAAGCAGTGGATGGGTTTGAACCACTAAGCTTGTGGCTACCCGTCCAGTGCTGATACAACAGTGCCACACCAGGACTCAGTGTATCCTTCAGTCTTCCCAATCTCAGTTACCTTGTATCTCGGGTAATGTGACACACCTGGGTACCCAGTGCCCACCTTGAAACCCAGTCAACTCCCTTGGCCTTTGTTAGAAGCTGCCCCATGCCAGGTAGTAAGGCAAGATCTCAACTGGGGTGGTGCACCTTGTTGGGTCTTCACAATAATTCATTCACTCTTCCCCAGCTGTGCCTCTGCCTGCCCCCTCGGCATTCCTCTGAGAGATGCCCTGATCTTGCCCATAACATCACCAAACTGGATCACTCCAGCCATCTGGGTCTGGCTTCTGATCTGCCAGATTAGCACAAATGCCCAGCTTTCCAGGTACCCCTCCGAAACCATAGGCCTGGAAGAAAGGAAAGACCAGAAAACGAAAACAGTGGATTCAGATGCTTAGGAACCCTGTTGTACTGGGTTTCAGAGACTTACTCTTGGGAGCAGAAAACCTTCTCTTCCACAGAGCAGCTGTTGGTTTGAACTGCCAACTTGGCTGTTTATCCAGTGTTTATCCCACAGTGCCCAGATTCCTGCTGACCCAACTCAAAAGCAGTCTCAAGAAGGCTGAGGGCACTGTCTCAGACAAGGCTGTTCTTTGGCCCCTTCGTCAGATCTGGGGGTGGAATTTATACACTGAGGGAGGGGCCAGCGATTGATACCCTTTCTCCTGGGGGCCCCCTGTTCTTGTGGATCTGCTGACTGCCTAATAGCCCCAGGCAGTTTGGCATCTCCCATCTGTGTATCACCTCTCCCAGTAAAGAGTCTTGAAGCTCCCCATTGACACACACCAGTCCATCCTGGCTTCACCTGAACACCAGGCTTAGTTCCCGGTAGGGGCCAGTCTCCCAGATCAGGTGCGCCCAGGAAATGGGCACTTTAGCCTACCTGTCCTGAGCAGAGGACCCTCTGCCCTCCACCCACAACTACTCCATTGCCTTTCCCCAAGGAGGAAACCTGGAGGGATGTACTCCAGCCACCACCGCTACTACGAAGTGAAGGCCTCATGGAGGCCACGGCAATGAGACCAAACATCTAGAAAGGGGGGTTGGGGGTCTTGGAAGTAGACGCCCAAGATCAATTTGTCTGGGTGGAAGAGGGCACCCTCAGCACCCATACCGCCCAGGGAGGGCTCAGGAGGCACAGGCTCTGCAGAAGCTGTCCCCCACACCGTGGTTCACAACCCCAGTCCTCAGTCCTCACACATCTGTGGCTCTCCAATACCAGTGACAATGCTCTGAGGAAAAAAGGACCAGTGGGCTGAGGTTTAGAGCAGATGGTTTTTTGTTGAGACATGGGCTCCATGAACCCTAGCTTCTCCTCCTATTCCTATGTCTCACTATTGGACGTACTGGACCTTAGAACCTTATCTGTAAGCTCTTCACTGAGCCACGGGGATCAGCCTGCAGAGTGGGCGGGATGAGAGAGGAAGTCCAAAACCGTGGCATTACAGGCCCAAGGGTCTTGCTGCAGCCACAGGCCCCTTCCTCCAGCTATTCTCAGCCCTCTTGCCCACCTCCAGGGGCCTAGAGACCTGTGCCAGCCAGCAGTTTCCTAGCCACTGTGAGATGTAAGAAGAGGCAGCCATGCCCTGAGCTGTCAGCTCAGCAGTTTCTTTCATCTGAATTTTCTCCATGGCACGGACAGCAGAGTCGTTGGCCTAGAGGGCAGAGGCTTCCAAAGCAGGGCAGGGGCACCAAGTTAGGAGAAAGCCTGCAGCTGCCCCTCTTAACTGTGTCTGGGGCCAGGAAGGGACAAGCAGTTTGGCCTG